GAGAAGCAAAGCAGGAAAGATAAGGGAGACGGGAGGAAGGTGCGTCCACCTTCGTTGAGAGCTAGATGAGAGAAAGCCGTATTTTAAAGTTCAACACTCTTCCTGACAATAAATAATGATAAAATATGCATTTGAGGTTTTGTTTTCACAGTTTTGTTTAATGTGAGTGCCACACAGTTCTGTTTTTATTATTTAATATGATTTTGCACACATTTGCCCTATAATGGTTAATATTCAGAAATATTTTATTATGTATAATGTTGTGATATTAATCGCAAACACAAACACAGTGTGATCCTCACTGTGAGGTGTGACAGCTGAGCTTACAGCACAAACCCTCTGCATAGCACATTTAGTTCAAATAATTCAGTTACTTAAAAACAAGTTAGATCACATGCAAGTTCCTTTTTTTGCACAAAAGGTGCATTAATACATTTCTGAGGTGATAAATATTATGCACTGGTTTAATGAGGAGGACTCTCAGATAGTATGGAAATATTGGTTATAAGAACAAAATTCCAAAGATTTCCAGTTCCTCCCAAACAAAGAAATTCATTATAAAACTGTAAATTTCTCCCTCATCCTCCTTAATACAGATACGTGTGCAATATAAATGTAGAAGTTCTAGTAAAAATTAGTTCTCTATATGAAATAAATATATACAAAGCTCTAAAATGCCCGGGAACTCTCTGAATATGAATTAATCTAGTTACGTTTATTTATTGTTATATTCCTTTTATGCTACTATGTTAATTAAATGTAATGAATGCACTTTATTCTTTATAAATAAAGTTGAAGGGTTATGAATATTTAAAGCGACTGTGAAGGATATTTGTACAATAACAATGTATAATAATGTGACAATGTGTAAAGTGTCTCTGGTAGTGAACCTACAGAGAATTTTTAGCTGTCACACCCACTGTACGCTGAAATAAGCAACAGTTCAGTCGTATTAGTGTCAGATTCTCTCTTTTTGTTTTTATCTCTCCAATGCAAAAGAAGGAATTTGGTATTAAAAATGCAGAATCAAGAATCGCTTGAGTTAAATTATTATGAAAACATCTTTTAATGTCCAGTATGCACAGGAGCACCGTTCATACTGGCACCTGATTCTCTTTAAAGACAGACTTCAAAACGTATGAACTTTAATTCTTTAAATGGAGATCCAGCAATGTAATAAATTACAGTCTGATATATTTTAAAACCTCAATATGAAAGAAAAATAATTCTTTTAGTTAAATCCACAGAGCTGTATGTGTACACATGTATTTATTTTCCTACTTCAGCACCTTTTGAACAGTCCTAGAACAGACCTTAAAAGTCGATCTGGAAGGAGTTGGAATATGAGTGAGAGAGATAGATTGTCTTTACCCCTGAAGCTTTTGAAGGGGAGTGAGGGAGGGATGAGGATGCGCTGTTCAGGCTCTGAAGCTTTTGCCGGACAGATTCCTCTGTTGGTCTCTCCGCTCCCGCTCTCTCTCTTTTTATTTCCATCCTAGCAGCTGGTTACACCCAGGAAGGTAGAGGAGGTGGGCTGGAGGTGGAGTCAACAGTGGTCATACCTGTTGTAGACCTCTCCTCTAATCTACAGTACACCTTGTGACTTTAGATGAAAACATTCCTAAAGATTGTGTGTGTATTAAGATGAAGACCTGAGACATTTGAGCACAAAACAACAAGCACCAGAGTTAAATGAAGATATGATTATATAGTGTATAATAAGTGTTACCCAAATAACAATTTATATATTCAAATATATTCTTCTGATCTGGTTTGGAAGAATCAGCATGTTTGGCACAATGATCTGTAAGGTCCAGTGTGTACAATATAGGAGGCTTTACAATATTGTCCCAGGTTTTGATTGTACTAATCCTAATTGGACTGGAACTGTCACTGGTTACAAGGCTAATAAATAGGCTAGTAAAGCCAGCCAGACACTACCTGTGCATGGCACACCCAGTTATAAACCCTAATAAGTGATACTCACCCTTACCGTGGTATAATTTCCCTGTGCTGCAAAATACATGTCCATAAACAACTACTGCTCATGATCACTAAAAAGGAAAAAGCATTCTTTTAATAGGACCCAAAAGCAGAGACTTTGAGCTTTTTGAGTAGAGTAAATACAACAATCACAGGACAAAAGGGACCTATGTATCTGTAAAGATCCTGGGGTATCTAAGTTTATGGAAATGTGTCCAGATCTGTATATCATATCATATATAAATAAAAACGTTTGTGCATTTATTCCAGTGGATTTTGACTGACAGCCAGTCAGTGCAGGAAGACATGGATCAGCACAGCTGACTCAAACCACAGCATGAAAACCCTACTGTACTACAGGTTACTCTGTTGGCTCGAACAATGCTCAATGATCTATACATTAGAAAATGCGTTCCTGGCTGAGCGTGTGAATCTGTAGTTGTTGGTATTTTATGAATGTTCTCCATTACTAAGACTCCCCGTGCAGCATTTTACATGCCAGCAGAGCCAATAATATTCTGTAGACTGCCACAGAAAAAAGCAGAACTCTCAGAGATATGTGGGCTAAAGTTGAATCAGATGATCAGAGGTGTATTTAGGTTTTAAACAACATGATGATTAATACAGAAAGAACTTGTAGCCATAATTAAAACCAAACATGGTGAAGCTGCTTGGATAACCTGGGTTCTGGACCTGACACCTGTGAACTACCTGTACGACACACAGCAGACATAATAATCCTGGCTGAACAGGATGTAAACATAATTATTGTAATGTTTCCTGTACAACGTCTCTGTCACCAAAGCTTAGCTGGAGGAATGAGCTCTCGCACATCATCTTAAGTTTTGAATGAGTGAAGATTTGAAGCAGTTTGAAGTGTTTGTGAACAAAAGAGACGTAAAAAAGTACAACAAAAGAATCATCATGCAATGTGTTGATTTAATTCATTTGAATTGTCTCTGTCCAGCAAACATGAAGCAAACAGCATAAAAGCATAAAAACAATAGATTAATTTACTACGAACATGATTTTAATTTGCACATGCCCTGGTTGTTTTTTGAGCATATATCCAGGGTGCAGCCTGGTGTAAGTTTATTATAAATACCAAGCAGTCTGGTAATACTAGTCCCATGTGAACAGGCTTTAAAACAGTCACACATGTAACACAAACCTATGTCTGGATACATAACTTATCATCAACTTATACTACCTGGAATGTCGCTGAACAAGAAACACTTTGAGGTGGTTGTAAATGAAGAACCTGCAACTTCTGACAATTTGTCAGTGAAACTCCATCCAAGTGTTTTTAATTAAAGAATGTGCATTGCAGCAGTAATAATAGTAACTGTAGTAATAATAATAACAACAATAATATCAGTGATATTAGCAATGGCAGTCTAGCAGGACCATGGCAGGAGGCTCCACCAGGATCCATGAGAACCTGCAG